GCCTCATGTAGATCTACTGGAGATGAGTTACCTACGAAGTTACATTGGACTTTTTGTACGCCCCCGGGGGACTTTTTTTCACAAACAATCAAACACCGTTACAATATCAACAACGGAGCATGAAGTTGGCAGTATAGCGGGGCTGGCGATCGATGAAATGCTGTATTCTTTGTTCAACAAGACCAAATAAGTTGTCTTTGTCTGCCGTCAAGGAAAACGATTCGGACAAGACAGGATGACGGACAATTTTATAATGAGTTATTTCCCTTGCCTAAGGCGAATTTGAGTCTTTTTAGTTTGAGCTCAGAAAAATAATGACGACTTGGCATTTGTGACCTTTTGTTAGAGTGGGAACTTCGGCGTCTGGCACAAGTATATGATGAAATAGTCTACATGTATTTTGTCCTGCCATTTGAAGCCAAGAATTTTGCATAGATATTTCATGCTGAAAAAATTGATTAAGCTTCTGGTCGTCACAGTTTAAGTACATGTACACTGTCCACCAGAGGTAGTTGGTAGGACCACTATACAGCGTTGTTGTTTGGCTTTCAACTTTTATTTTCTTCTCTCTGTGAATGCTACAGCAGTGAGCCTCAAACCTTTGACTCAGCCTTCCAAAGGAGGCTCTGGCTTTATTATTAAAAAAAAAAAAATACTAATAATACATAACGCTATTTCTTTATCGATGCGAGCATTTGAAGACAATGTACTGCCAAGTCATTTGATAAAGCTATCAGCATTATTCAGTAGTGATTTCAGTGTTGTGTAATGCATTTGATTTCATGAGGGAGGTCTGCGTATCGCCAGGGACAAGCAGAAAGAGAGCGTCTTGTCTTTGCTGTGCTCATTGTTTAGTTTTAGTAAGAGTTTTACAGCACTTGCAACACAAGGTCATATAAATAAGTGCCGAAGATTAGGTGTTACAAGATTAGATAGTAACAAACACACAAAAAAGGAGGAGACATCAGAATGATAGATGTGATAGATGTTTTTAGGAAAGGAGCAAACCACATCAGAGCAGCTGCAATATTTATTCTTCTCAACACTTCATATTGAACTATTTACAGTACAACACAGACAGCTTGAATTCGTCAGGACCAGCCTTGGTAGTTTGAAGGATATCTTACAAAGATAAAGAAGAAAAAAAAAAGGACCACAGGCACAATTTGACCGATGCTTGATTTTCAGTCTCCATTTTAGTAGAGGTTTTACGGCGCTCGCAACTGCATAAGGTCATATGAACGCCAGAAGATTAGAGGTGTTACAAGAGAGTAACAAACATAAAAAAGAAGGAGGGGAGATAAGGACGATATATGTTTGATAGGAAAGAAGGAGCAAATCACACCAGAGCACCCACCAACCACCCACATTTCGAGTCTTCTGTGTTCGACCTGTCCAAGTTTTACTGTATGTCACAACACATTTTCTGAAAAACCACAAAATACAACAAAGAAAAAAAGAAATCACAGTCTTCCATAAAATTGTATTGTATTTGGTTTATTTTCATCAAGAACCAGCCTTCTCCCATAAATTAACATACACTTACATGTCAGTGCACACATGCATATATCCCGTGAACTGCATTCATAGAACTCAGAAATGATTCCCGAAGGAAAGAAACGGGTAACGTCAGGTTCACACTGTCCTGCAAACCACACCCTTCACACAACCAGTAAAAAAAAACAACCAAAAACAACCCCAAAACCAAAACCAATCCAATGTACCGGTAAATCAAAGTTGCACATAAATTCATTCGTAACGTGGTTTTCATGATTTTTTCCTTACTACTATTATTTTCTAATTACATACATGGTTGCTTTTACGTCCCATCAACACAATTCAAATCATTCAAGAGGCGGGATTTGACCATGCCTATAAGGTCCAACCTGGGGCTAACAGACGATGCAACATCCGAGAAGAAAGACCGAGATCTCAATCTCAATAAAAAATTCTCCCCACTCGAGAATTGAACTCGGTCAGGGCTCTTGCGCGTGACAGCGAAGCACCTGACCGCTACACCATAGACACTGGTATCCAGTCTTTGTAGTTTTTTAAATCTCATTCAGTAATTTTTTTTCCTTTCTGATAAAACAAATTGGTTTACCCGACAGTATGAACCAGCTGTTACAGACATTCTCAAGCAACAAGTGGAACATTTGACGAGGAGCGAAACAGTCATAAGCCAGACCAGCGACTAAGTAATAATAGAATAGAAGGGAATTATTTCATCAATAAATATATACCTCACTTGAAGGGGAAATTTGAAGAATGCGTACATAAATTTATACATATACACCCAATATAGTAAACATCCACTGAGTCAGAATCAGAGAAAAAAAAAGAGAAGAAAACTGAAGAGATTTAAGATTTCAAGACAGACAAATTTAGATGTCCACACAAGTCTACGGCTAACATGCACGCACACACAAACACACACACTACACTACACACACACGCAGCATATGCAAGTTGATAGAAGATGTAAATCACACAAATTAATACGCACTACAGACTATCGCCACTTTCACATCCACACACCATGTTCAATAAATAGATCAGTAGAAGGTACATCAAGCAGAATGGACACACGCCACTAAACAAACAACCTCTTGTTTCAACAACAACATGCCACCATTAGGAGAGACCAGTTCTTGTACAAACAATGTTTCATATATATATATATTAAAGACCTGTTCTGGCAGCAATGATGCTCTCTGCCAAAACCAGACAACACGAAAATCAAAACGTCTATTATAAATCCCTGATCGTGTTTTCAACCATACCTGCACCACAGCGCAAGAACGCACAAAACGTGACGACTGCTCGTCTACTAAAGGTACATCAACGCATCGTGTAGTTTCTAAGCAAGACCTACCGTGTCACAGGATCAGCCAATAGTACAAGGAGTTCATCTACAAAAGAAAATGCTGTCAAATGCCCTTATATTATATTTATCTTGTATGTTCAGACCTGCCTACAAGGGGGGGGGGGGGGGGGGGGGAGGGGGGAGAAACAATGCTTCACCGATTTAAAAAAAAAAAAAAAAAATCAGTGTTGCGCTGAGGTAATTAGAGGGGAAGAAAAAAATAATAAAGCTGCTCCACGTCTTCATATTATGAATGAAGAAAAGTTGCTGCTGCTGCTAGCCATTGAAGAGTTTGAGGAAGCACAATGTGATGATGTAAATGCAGAAATGTGCAGTCCTAGTGGCAGATTCACAAGGCTGGTCTACCCATGCCTGCCCCTTTACGTCTTATGTAACAGTGACTGTGAGGGTTTTATCCCCCCCCCCCCCTCTGAAAATACAATTTAAATCATAGGAGCCTGGCTGCTTTAACCCTGCCTACCCAGTCAGTTTGCTAGGTGTTTTTTTTTAGTAAGAGTTTTACGGCAATAGCAACACAATAAGGTCATGTAAATGCCGAAGATTAGAGGGGTTACAAAAGAGTAACAAACACAAAAAAGGAGGGGAGATCAGGACAATAGATGTTTGATAGGAAAGGAGGAGCAAACCACACCAGAGCACCCAACAGTCAGTTTGAGTGGGACCGGAGACTTCGGTGAGACACAACACCCTCGCAGACAGACAGAGAAGGAGAAACTCGATAACAAAAACTTCTCAACATGGGAACCAAACTCATGTCCTCTACATGCGCCAGTGAAGAGCCAAGCCCAACAATCAAACCACAAATACTATAACAATTCAATTGTGACAGCGAACATAACAAACTGCCAGAAGTGTCTGGATACACACACCAGGGAGGGCAGGCAGCAGTGGCAACCAGTCAAATAAAACAAAAACCACAACCAACATAATATGGCGAGGATTAAAAGAAGGGCTTTTTCAGAGGGGGCAAGCATAAAGTTCTGTTACAATGATCTCAGATATAATTAAAATCAAAACTGTTGTTTGAGCTAAAGAAAAACACATTGGCATGAATCTCCCTTTAAAATTTTTATTTTTTTGGTTGCTTTTTCAAACTAGCATTGACTTCTGAGCAGCCTGTGTTCCTTCCAGACAAAAGGACCGACAAGTGTACTATGCACCGGTATACATAAATGTGCATGTAGTGTCTGCTCTATGTAAGAATGGAAAATGATACCATACACAGAGAGAGAGAGAGAGAGAGAGAGAGAGGGAGAGAGAGAGAGAGAGAGAGAGAGAGAGAGAGAGAGAGAGAGAGAGAGAGAGAGAGAAAGAGAGAGAGAAAGAGAGAAAGAGAAATAATGAAAAAGATAGAGAGAGAATGAATGAGAGAGAGAATAAATGAGAGCGAGAAAGAAAGAGCCAGAGATTGTCCCCTCATCATTCATAACAACACACACGAGGGAGTAAAGAGGCATCATCATGAACAAGAAGAACATATGACCGGGGATATCAAACAGCAAAAACTTAATGAGTCAGACAAAGTGCATGCCCACCTCCTGAGAGCAAAACATTTGACAACAGACATTCAATTCACAAACTATTGTCACGTTTTCTCTCTTTTCATTATATGTTCCTTCTGATTTTCTCTTTCTGTCTCTATTTATACGTTTCTTCTCTCTTTCTGTCTCTATTATAAAGTCTCTTCTCTTTCTTTGTCTCTACATGCTCTAACTCTCACTTTTCACTCTCTCTACAAATCCCAACAATCTCTCTCTCTCTCTGAGCTCCAAATGCCATTTTGTTCCATACTGGTCGGTGAGATCTTAAAAACATCTGGCAGAACGGATTATATATAACAACAATGACCAGCACACGAGTCCAAGGTAAAATATAAAAGTGATCTTAAAATAAATAACATTGAACCTCACAACTACTGTTAAAGGTCAACGAAGTCTTTGTTTTTTCTCATGGTTACAATACACGGGTATGGAACATTATATTTTGCATTAACAAAAAATCTGAATACTTGTGCCGTGAGCAACAAACACACACACACACTAGGCAATCCATCCCCTCCCCCTACACACACACACACAAAGTAGATGTCCAGGGATGCCAAATGATTTTTTTTTTTTTAACCTGAACGTGGTGGAGCATCACATCTCACCTAAAATGAACCTTGTAAAGTCTTTCAATGAGCAAACAAAAACCTCTCTTACCTCTCTCCTTTCCTTTGCAAGTGTATGTAAAAATTCCAACGGATGAAAAAACTGGGAAAAAACAGAGATTTGGCATCCCTCCACTGTCCAATCTTTCACCTAAATCAGTGCCTGTCAACCTGTTTTATACTAACCAGCGCCTACTTTTGAACTCCTCATTTTACAAGGCAAACTAGAATTCTTGTACCGCCCACCTAAACGCATTTCCAAGCAGGGCATTGAATAATACCTCTGTCACTGCCTTCCAAAATTACCAAAGTGCCCACTTGTGGGAGCGATATCTCAGTCAGGTTGGCAAACATTGACCTGCACAACCAGGACACAAAAAGCATCCAAGAATTCATGACACAGTCGCCACCACTCTCTACTGATACAGGCATGGCACGTCAAAACAGGTTTTAAAAAATAAAATTAAATAAAAACCAACAACCATGCCCATCTGCTGAGCCATGCGCACACACCAGCACGCCGAAACAAATGAAATGTTCTAAAGACGTGCTTTTCAATAATACGGTTAAGGTGGAAAAGTAGCACTTCAACAGACTAACCAGTTGTAAAAGAAATCCTTTTATATAAACTCACAACGTAAGAATCTTGTGAGCACTTATTCAACTGATTGCAAAACATTACAAGAAGCAACACAAGCCTGATTGGAAATGCAACACAGTAATAATTTACAACCAGGGGTGAAAAAGACCTGTTGTTGGGAATGAAAATACTGTTGCACTTGAGAAAAACTAGTTTTTTTCACATACAACAACCCCCTCCCCCCAATTTTACAGAAGCTTAGTGCGACAAATAGAAAACACTAATTATGTAATTAGAAAAGGAAGAGATATCTTTTTCATAAAATAGATAGCGTCTAAATACCCAGTACAGAGAGTGCAACTGAAGGAAAGTGGAATCACGCGTTATACAATATGATGTGTATATTCAGGCGAGAGCTCTTGATGTGTGGTGGCACCAAGGACCAAGTTGACAAGGGCAGTCACTCAACAACACCATCAATATCATAAAAGAATGAGTCGGAGGAGGGTATGGAGCGGAATGGGAGCATAGAAAGAAATAATCGTGGAATTTGAAAAGCGGCAATAAAAGTTGTTTTGTAATAGTCTTAAAAAGCCCTGTAGAAAGACTCAACCATTGAAGGTGAAACACTTGTCCTGTCAATCAGATCTTCATCCCCCCCCCACCGGGCTCAAACGAAATGTTTTCTGTGACAGCAACAGGCAACACAATCTTGTGAATTGTAATTGATATGAATCTCTGACAGTATTCAGCATTAATGCTGTATAGAATTTTTTTTTTTTCACGGATAATTTTGCAGGTAATTTCAATGTTGTGTTTTCTAAAGTTAACAATATCAAATTAAATGCTTATTTACAGTGGGGGTAAAAAAAAAAGCAACTGCTTTCACACACCATACATCATGGAACCAACTGAAAAGTCAGGCAAATATGTCCCCTAGTTTAGGACAGGTAGTCAAGTAGTCAAAGTAATCCAACGAGGGAGATTTTTTTGTTGTCGCGCTTTTCTTGTTAGCCTTTTTTTAAAAACGAAATTTTACAGAGTTGCAAAGAACACTGGTCTCCAATAAGCAGAAAAAAAGCCTACACCGCTTCCCCTTTAAAAAAAATATAATAAAACATATTGAACAGTATTTGTCTTTCGGTGGCACAGTTGCTCATACAACTTAACAACTTTCTCCTGTCGTGACAAATCAATTCTTCATAAAAAAGAAAGCATGACCGGGAAATCATGATTTTATGAGTTGAATGAAAGCAAAATAAAATCATGGACATTTCGTGAGAAGTTGAAAGCACACACGAATCACAGGTTTGCCATAAATGTGGAATTTCTGTGAGACATCCCCAAGAACCATCTGTCAACAAAAAGTTTTATCAAAAATGGTCAAACTACTATACTACTATCAGACACACTCAGACGCGAGCTAAAGTTGACCACACACAGTGAGGGGGGAAGACACACAACAATTCTGGGAAATTCATCACTCTGCAAGTAGTATGGGAACTTTGACTTTGAGATGACAGGGAGGTAAAAAACACAGCAATGAGATATGCATCAATCTTTGAGTAACGGAGTTAATGGGACTAAAGATAATTACAATCATCTTAATAAATGCTGTCAGTAAGTAATACAAAAATGGCTAACTTTGAAATGCAATGTAATTCATGATGCGACATGAGAATGCTGTGGATTTCAGTCACTATGTCAGAAAGTACAATACGCAAAATTATTGAAAATAGTCCACTGAATATCTAAGAAACTACATAATTATTTATAATTACTGTTTGCCTACAGTATCTCTATCATAGCCTCCACATTTTTAAGAGAAGATCAAAATTCTCAGTGCACCCACTTCCAGCTGCACACACAATGAATATAATAGTATGTCCTAAAGACTTACTCTACGCAGAACAAAAAGTCCCCTGAATGTAACGACTGGAATGCAAACTGAACAGTCTATCACTGCATTGATAAACATCTCTCGATTTGTTTGTTTTTTTAAAAACAACCTGCATCCTTACAGTCTAAGTCTTACTTACCCTCACATACTGAACTGCTATTCAGCTAGCTAAACAGGTATCTCACTCAAGAGGAAAAATAAAACAAAACCATGGTAGATTTCATCTATATCCAGAAAAAGTCAGCACACTTCCACACAAATTCAAGCAGCAACTTCTTGCAAGCTGTATCCTGTTACTACCACCATCTCACACAGGAAATGGACCACCCCCTAGGGGTTATAATATAATAATAATCCATCATAATACTACAAGATAAATCATAAATTACTATCTCTTAGCATAACACCAGACACACCCACCCACAGACTGGCAACCGTTCCAATAAATAATAAATGACTCGAGTATTTTAAAGCACACTTCTCACAGAGACCCCAGTCCCAAGTTTTCTCTCTTAAATATAAACCACCAGGACTATCCCTGCCCCTGAATGCTTTCTCCAGAGTAGTAGGCAGCAATCATTCATAAATATATTTAAAGATATTTCTTTACATACAGTACAAGTTATACTTATAGTTATTTCATCAAGAAATCAGAACACCAAAAAAACCTGGAGCAAATTCCATTTCCGGGTAACATGATGATGTTAATTTGAGAGTTCATATTTTCTTTACATATTCACAAGAAAAAGAAATGTAAAAGAAACAACTTTTAAAACATTGAAAGCTTTTTCATAATCCAAAGACTTCAGCTTGAAAACACAGCGAACCACAGCACCCACCTACAATTCTGATTGTGGTGCTCAACGTGAGAAAAAAGGAGTTTTTCTATCAGTCTCGTGTTTCTCAACCGAGAGAAACCGTGAAAGTGTCATGGGTAACAAAAGTCATACAACAAAGCTGATCACAGCTTGAAAGTGCTTCCACAATCATAACTCATGAACCGAAGCTAAAAGGGATACAACAATCCTTATTCCTCTTCGCTAGCCATCGACTATTGATTTTCAAATAGTTCAATAATACTGGAAACATTAGAGCATGTCGTCCTTGTAATGCAGGAAGAGGATGAGAAATAATGCATACAATTAGTTAAAATCCTGTATGTAAGAAATCATGGCACTAGTGAAAGAAGTAGTCTCGAAAGACCGACATAAAAAACAAGTTTAAAGAAAAAGCTAAAAACAAAAATAAAGGGGGGCTATTTACAATAACTTAAGTTCACATGAAATTAAAAAGCCTTTAAAACAATTTTCAGGGAAAAAACAACACAAAACTCCCACGTATAGTTCTGCTCTCCGCAGAAACACCCCCACACGTCAAAACTTTGTGACTCCGGAGTGTTCAAGCCGTGGGGATGATGATTAGGATAAAACAAATTGCACGAGAGGCCTACACGGCACGTTATAGGTGGTCGCTCATCCTACATGGAGGCAGTCTTGCTGAGCTTGCCCTGCGCGGGCACCTTGAGGAGGTAAGTGGTGGCCGGCTGCTTTGACCCCGAGGGCACCACGACCTTGAACGGGGACGAAGAGCTGCTGTGGGAGGGCAGTCTGCTGGCCGTGCCCTGCACCGTTGAGCCGGGCATGGTGGTCAACACCTTTCTCAGGCTGACCGGGGCGTGGGGCGTCGACATCGCCACGGACGAGCCCACGCATGTTGTCGCAATAACCGACCCAGGGCCGCTGCTGCCAAATGTGGGCATCGCAGCCGTGCTGTTGGGGGTGAGGGGCGGGGTGAAAGCCTCAAGTGGTGTGGGGGAGGGCTGGCTCAAGGTTAGGGCCGGGGAAACAACAGAGGAGGAAGAGGAGGAGGAGGAGAAGGAGGAGAAGGGCACGGACACATGCGGGTTGGCAATGATTCTGATGGGCACAGGGGTCGAGCTACTGTTCGGGGTGTTTTTCACCAGGGAAGAGATCGGAGCGGCGGCGGTCGACACATTCTCGATGACTATTCTACTTGTGGTGCCGCTGCCGTTCTTCACCACGCATGGCCGCTCACCCAGGAGGGACATGTAGTGCGTGGTGGTGGTGGTGGTGGTCGTGCTCGACTCGTTGCTCATCTGCAGAGTGATGAGCTGTCCCCCGGGGGAGGGCGTGTTCTGGGAAGAGGAGGCGGGCCGCACGCGCCGGTGCACGATGATGTGCGGGAGAGTTTTCACCGAGGAGGAGCTGCTGCTACTGTTGGTAGTGCTAGGGGGCGGCATGCTGTGAATTCTCTTGAGGCTAAACTTCACATCGGGCGTCTTTCCGACACCGGAAGACAGCGTCAGCCCCGAACCTCCAGCAGAGGAGGAGACCGCGGAGGATCCGCACGGAGGGGTGGGCAAGTCCAGCTTGATGCGCTTCTCACCCTGCGGGCCAAAGTCCACCTCCACCATGTTGCGCTTCAGCGTGCGGTTGATGAACGTGGTTCCGGGCATGGGGCTCGTCTCGTTGAGCGTGGCCATGTCATAGTCGGGGGAGAGGAGACTGCGGCCTAGGAAAGAGGCTGTACCGCTGCCACCCTCCTCTGGCGGCTTGTTGAACTGGATCTGCCGTTGCGCAGCTGGCTTCACGATGCGCAGAGAATGCAAAACGTGATCTATTTCCGCCTGAGACAGGGTATGCTTTTGATTGCCGTGGCTACCCACTGAGCGAACCTCGCCCGTCTCCTGAGAGAAAATGAGAGTGTCCGGGGTTCTGGTGGCCGTAGTTGGGGTACAGATGATAATATTCTTTGGCTGAGTCTGGGCGGGGATGGCACGGGGTCGGTGAATGACCTTCCCTGGAATGCTGTGGACAGCTTTAAGGGTTGGCTGGCCACCATCACTCTTCACTAACCGCTCGTCAAAGCTGAAGTGCTTCACCATTGCAGGAACGGCAAACTTGGGCTGTCTCGGCTCAGGAGCAGGAACTTCTGAAGATAGCACAGGAAAGAAGAACGATAAAAATATGCAGGCAAAAAAAACAACTAAAAAACTAAAACAGAAAACAAAGTTTCAAAAAGAGTAATTGTCAGCAGGATTTTAAAATTCCCGCAAGCTCCTGTCTTTAGTCACTAAACACATGCAAATTTTATTTTTCCCACAAACCCAACCAAACCAGTCAATATTATAATTATAATTTTGTTCTCCCTTCAGGAAACATTTGTACACATCATGAGGGCAAAAAAAAAATATAGCAGCTCATGACCTTGGACTAACATTTTCAACTAAAATGCCCTAATTCGAACCATCCCCACAAATACAAAATTGTTTACAAGCAACACTGACTTTTTCTTTACCATACAGAATCAGGCTTTTTCAGCTGAATGAAGATGATGGTGAATTAAGACTAATATAGGGAGGTGGACAGGGGAAGCAACTCACCATCAAAGTTGAGTTTTTTCACGGGACTAGTGGGCACGGAGGTGGAGCCTCGTATCAACACATTCCTCTCCTGCTCAGCTATCCTGCAGATCTCGTCAAAAGACGAGTGCCGGTTCAGGCCGGACCCAGGCCCGTCACAGGTTTGTTGTTGAAGTTTTACCCGCAGATCTGTGGGAGGGAAGCAAAACAATTATTTTTTAATAAATAAAAAGAGTTTTACGGCACTTGCAACACAATGAAGGTCATATAAGTGCCGGAGATTAGATACAGGTCTACCCCCCGGGGCAGTGCTACTGACTGTAGTGTCTTTAGGCAATTCCCAAAGGGGGGAAATTTCTCGTTTAAGCACAGTAGAATTGTAAATGGGCTGATTCATCAAGTCACGCTCATAACTGTGCCTGATCTACAACAGGGAACTGCTGCTTTTTCTTTCCTAATCCTTACTATTGTCATTTTCCTCTACTTCTTTTGTAGAGATAGGTCTTACAAGTGAGCAACAAACACAAAAAAGGAGGAGAGATAAGGACGATAGATGTACAATAGGAAAGAAAGAGCAGACTACACCGGAGCACTGGCCAACCACACACAAACAATTATTTACCCCACTGTGAAACTGTAAACAAATTTTAGGGAAGGCTATAATCTAGGTTTAGGGAACACAACACATCTCATTCACAGATTTAGTAGGAATTAATCATATCAAAACATAAATGGTTCGATCAATAGTGCATTGTAGGTGCCAGCCCTATTTTCCAAAGGAAATAATTAACTAGCCTCAATGGTGAAAAAAACAAAATTGCAGGTTTCTTAAAAAAAAAAAAGCTCTTCAATTGCTCAGACCTGTTTTCAAAAGCTCAGATAAAAGGAGAAACTAAACCTTGTTAAAAAATTCTTTCAAAATCGAATCAATATGCAACTGAATGTAGACGTAAAAATCTTACCACTTCTAACTTTCATTCCATCCAGAAGAGATGAAGTCCCAGCAGGTCTGATTGGGCGAAACCCATTGACAATACTTTGAACTGAAAACAAAACATAAATTTAGAATAACAAACAAAGGGGAAAGTTATGCAACAGCGTTGTAAAGTTTGGCGACAAATACATATGTGTTACATTCTCCAAACGTAAAGTGCATCAGACAAAAATAATCACAATGGTTTTTGATTCATGAAAGTACACAAGGAAAAATTTCTTCGTTTGTCACCAAGAGAAAGTACAATTCATAAATTTATGCTTTACACTTCCACATTGAAAGTGTTACGTTGCAAATATGGTGAAACTTAAGAATATCCCAAGGCTTGTCGTGGCTTTGGAAACGTCTGTCCAAATACATTTCATTTTATCATATAAGTGTATACTTTCATGCTTATCTTACTATGTTGGTCTTTCCTCATAAGTAATGCCGTACCTACTAAGACTGAGGGAGAGAGTGTTAGATGAGTGGGAGAGAGAGTGTTAGATGAGAGGGAGAGAGTGTTAGATGAGAGGGAGAGAGTGTTAGATGAGAGGGAGAGAGAGTGTTAGATGAGAGGGAGAGAGTGTTAGATGAGAGGGAGAGAGTGTTAGATGAGAGGGAGAGAGAGTGTTAGATGAGAGGGAGAGAGTGTTAGGATAGATGAGAGAGAGGGGGCGGGGGATTAGGAAGAAGTGAAGGGGGGAGGGAGAGAGGGAGAGAGAGAGAGAGAGAGAGAGAGAGAGAGAGAGAGAGAGAGAGAGAGAGATAGAGAGAGAAAGAGAAAGAGAAAGAAAAAAGAACTGATAAGTAGCCTCAAGTGGGTTGGGGAAAAACAAGTCAAGGCAAGCTATTACTGTCCCTTCCTGTTCAGCTTTTAAATCATTTTTTCTGATTTTGTTTGAATAGATGCGTTTTACGGCACTATCGACTCAGTTTTGGTCATCATTGTTATAGTTAATAGTTCTGAGATAGATGAGCTCACCATTTTCATTGCGCACACAGTCCAGGAGCGAGTGTCTCGAACTCGGTCGATGACAGCCATCATTGCAGCACGCTGGGGAGAGAAAAGATAACTCTAAAACGCTTATAATAAATAGCATTTGTATAGTGCATATCCCCGCTCAACAGCAGGCTCTATGCGCTTTACACTATATTATTACCCCAGCAGACCATAGAACACTCCGAAACATTCTCAGCTTCCCGGGAAGCATACAGTGCAAGCAGCTGATTAAGCGCTCAAACACTAACAAACTGACAAGATCTTTCGCTTATCAGTTTCAGTTTTACTGAAATATTCATATATGACTTTTTACACCAGGAAATGGAAAGAAAGTGTAGAGAACTACATCAGGCACACTGACAAAGAAGTAATTAAGCACACAAACCCCCCCCCCCCCCCCCCAATTTTCTTGTAAATTTATCAATCAACCTAATACATGTAGGCCTAGATCTACATTTTTTTTTTTTTTAATTTAAATTATGTTGCTTTGCCAACCTCCGCCAAACATTACATATGAGACTGTGTGTGTCCATGAAAAAGCTTTGTTTGTTTGAGTAGGTGCTTTACGGCACTATCGACTCACTTTTGGTCAATAAAAAAGCTAGGAAATAATCCAGTCCTTACCGATCAAATTACTTCATTACGATACAACTTCCCTATTAGCCTTCAGGCATGTTTAAGAGTTATTCCAGTTTCCATATCCTCTGTCACTGCTAAGGTAAAATTCATTTTTCCAAATGACCGAGGAAGGCAATTTTTGGATGACTCTTAATCAAAAATAGGCAGAGGACAACAAAGAGTGGACCCTTTGTTTGACTAGGTCTTTTACGGCACTGTTGACTCCGTTTAGAGTGGACCGTAAAAGTAAAGTATACCCTCCCCGCTGCTTGACCTAGTGAGCAACATCTTGGGTCACAGTTATGTCTCCCCAGAACAGAACAACAGTGGGAGGAGACCCACTGACACTAAAAGAGAAGCTGTACGGACCGACAGATGAACTGAGCAGGACGGCCCAGTATATGACAGATACCAGACTTCAAGTGTGATGCGATCGAAAAGAAGAAGAGTGTGCTGAGATTATTGCTCATTGATGTTCATCAATGCCTTTCACCCCTGGCAGGGTATAGGCCACATACAAGCTCCTTCCATTTATCTCTGTCCTGAGCCATCCTTCCAAGCTCGTTCCAAGTGAGCTTCATTTCTCTCATGTCCCTTTCCACGCATCTCCTCCATGTTTCCCGTGGCCTACCCCTGCCTTGTGTTCCCTGTGGGTTCCACTGCAGTGACTGTCTTGTGATGTTTCCGCTGGGCTTTCTTAAGGTGTGTCCCATCCATTGCCACTTTCTTAGTCCTATTTCTACTTCTATATCCTTTTGTCCTGTCCTTTCCCACAGCTCTTCATTTCTTATTCTTTCCTGCCACTTAATTCTTAAAATACTCCTCATACATCTGTTGATGAAAGTCTGGACCTTATTCAGTATTGATGGTACCGAGCAATAATGTAGGGGAGAAGAAACTTACTGTTGACATCGTGAATGTTGTCCACGTCCGGCCCGATGTACTGGAAGGCAGGTTTGCGACCTCTGATCTCTGTGACGTGCACCTTCTTGATGAGGCCCAGGCTTGTGAGGATGTTGGCGATGTCGTACAACCGACGGATTTTTGCTGAGGAAACAGGAATATTATTCCAGGTGATTGTGGACAGAGTTTTATTAAACATAAAAGCTAAGAGATTTAAAAACTGAGAGACCAGCTAAAAGATTTAAAAATTGAGAGAGTGATCCAGGAATTTTTTCCTCTCAAAACTTGCCATTTGAAATCCTGAAATTATGAAAATCACTTGAACCAAAAATAAGCAAGATAAACATGCAAAACAACATATTTGATGTACTATCATTTTCATCATTTTTGCCATAACAAGGGTAAAAACTAAAAATGTATTAATTAAAGTCATATCCCCATTCTTCTGTTTTGGTGGACAAGTTGCAGACTAAAATTACTTTCAACTTAGCATTCAAAAACTGCTGCAAGCACTAATGTGAACGCAAATGTGACAGCATCCTGAAAAGCCCAATACTGAAAGTTTGTCATTAGTGGTTGCCTTGAAGACAGTCTACAAATATGTAAAAATACTCACTCTTAAATTTGGAGGGGTCAAAATTGTCCATCAAATCACCAATCAATATCTTTGCTGACAAATCCAAGTTCACAGTTTTTGGCTGGTTGGAAGAAAACAAATAAAAATGCAGAATTAGGGTAACAAACAAGAAAACAACATACAAATCTAGAGTCTCCATAGCTTAAAGTACGCATATATATAGGAAAGCATTCTATTCCCCTAACTGTGACATTGGCAATGCAACCCATTTTTGCGGGTGTGATTAGAATATTAGAAACCAGGCAGTTTTGAAAGATAATATGTATCCAGTTTGAACTTAGAAGTAAAAAATTAGGATCACAAACAGGTATGACATGAGCTTAACATGTCAAAAGTATTGACAGGTTGGCATGCGTGCTGAAAAGAAGAATTTCAGTAGACCTTTTTCTCCACACAAAAAGAGGTTCTGTAAGGACATTGTGAACCTGGCTTACCTTAGAAACAAGGAACAGCATAAGGAACTTTTGACTCATAATGCCCAAAGACTTGTCCTTCCTCGGCAACACTGGAAAAAAAGAAGTTTTAAATGTTAGCATTTTCAACGCCTTATCAACACTATTTAAATCATTAAGAAGACACACTTCGACCATAGCTAGTTGTCAGGGCCAACCCGGGCTGAGAGCGATGCAATCTCCCCAGAGGAAGACAAAGGTATTCAATAAAACAATCTCCCCACAAGAGAATCAAACGTATGTCTCACTAGTAGCACACTCAATGATGTATAAAGAGGAAATATTTTAAAATGCTAACCAGTTGTTTACTTCACGACAAGCTTTCCTCACAAAACACAAATTCCTTTCTACCTTTTGTGATGGCATGCACATCATCATAACCATGTATTCTAAACCAGATTGAAAGTAAACTGCTGTCTAAGCATTATCTCGTACAAGTATCAGTGAGATCATTTGCATAAACAAGCATACCCTTTTATCCTGTAAACAATGCCACTGCGAGTTCTGCCTCAGGGCTATTTCACACAAAGATGTACGTACCAGCTTCTTCCACTTTCTCCTCAGTATCTGCCTTCGCCTCCTTTGCGCCGGGTTGCTGATCTTCTAGCTCCCTGGCCAATTCTTGATCTCTTATTTTCTTCATCTGCTCTGCCAGTTTGTCCTTCTCTGCCAAGATCTGAGAATGGATAGAACACATTTTAATTGATGAGTACATTCAAACCATTTATTTCATCTGTAGATATTTTCCTATAGTAAATACTTTGACCTGAAAATATTCAGAGTTTTTGTTTTCAAATTCCCCTTTTCATTTCTTTTAATTTAATCATAATGTGTTATACTTTGCAAAACAAATCGGGAAATCAGAGGTGAATAAAATAAACATATATAAATGTATTAAACAGAAGTCTTGCCTATGAAGGACAGAAGAAAATTACAGAGCGACTGAGTTAACCAACTTTTTACATAAGTCTCTAGAAAAATTTCTCAACCACCACAAGTAAAAAGCAGTGAGAAGACTTAAGATTTCATTACGGAACTACCAGACAGCCCAGAGAATCCATACACGGTAGAAACAGCATTTATTCCTGGACAGCCAGTGTACCCCGATAAATATGTTATAATTCTGAATCACAATGGAGCACTACCATGAAATCTAATTAAATGAATGGTACCTACCTTCAACTTGACCAGAGTGTGGGGGAGGTTGGTCTTTCCATGCCACGTGTACTTGTTCTTCGCCGCTCGGCTCACAATCTCCACACTCTCCAGGACATTCACAATATCATAGATGCGCCTGCGCTCCACCGCTGTGTGGGAATAAAAAGCAGGATATTAGTCTGCAAGGTTTTAACCAACAACAAAAAATGCACAAATTTTCATCAGTCATAGGTACACGTTGACCGACACAATAACGTTGCATTTGGCCAGGGAAAATTTGCACTTCCATGTTTTACTTTTACACAAAATGTGTACAGTATCATGGATGAGATGTAGAGCAAATCATAAGACATTAACCAAGGCTTCAACACAAATGTTGACATATATAACAAAATAAATGAAAACCCACATGATTCCCTTTCTTAGTTTACAAAGCAGAGATTCAAGGAAACTAACAAAACGATAGATTAAATTTGTATGGTTATCTCATGAATGAGTGTGGGGATGCAAGTTGGTCAACAAAATATTTGCACATTCTTCTAGAAATCTAATCATTTTTTTAAATTGAAAGGAAAAAAATATATTTAAAAAACCTACCTAAATCCTTGGCCACCTCATCCAAGCAGATTTCTATTCTGCAGTTCCCAGGATGATCTGGATATTTTAAAAGAAATCTGTAAAGAAAAGAAAAAAACAATTGACTTTCTATCTCGGGTACAGTAAATTGCATAATAATAATACTAGATCTAATATTAAATAATAATAATAATGCACACAGGTTATACTACAAGGAAAAGGGAAGGGGGTCCAGGTTCGTTTCATGTGGTAACAGGATCTCAGGGATAGGTAGGCCTATTAATATAAATTTATGAAAGTCCAAATGGCTCTGGATGACAGACACGCAAACACATGTCACAAAAAAAAAAACCCAAAACAAAAAGACTGATAAATAAAAGTAAAAGACATAGCACCCTGACACAAACAACAATACTGAGAAAATTTTCAATCTTATTCCTAGTGATCTAGATCTAGTGATTGGTAGGCCTAAATTTATGTTTAGCCCGTGCTAAAACTGTACAATAGATTGGTGAGGGTGTTTTCTGAGTCAGCACAAACAACAGAGCCTGAGGTTCACATGTCATGTAAAGAAACAGTAAAACACCATGACCATGAGGGAAAATTTGTGGTCGAGCAATACGATCTACCATCAATTAGGGGCCAAATCAGACATCTAGACTGAAATTTTGAAAAGGTTACGCAAGTAAAAATATAGGCTAAGCCCCAGCCTCTTGAAAATGACATGAAACCCTGATTATCAAAAAAATATATTACGCCTAAAAAAAAGCCTCTATGCTTAAGTACTGGGGGGCAATTCATTTGCAATAAAACCTACATCTTGTGCATGTAGTGTAGTGTGTAGATCTAAATAAGACAAGACTACCTTGACAACCATTTATCAAAAACAGTTTAGTTACAAAGTGAAGTGCAAAGTTAGGCTATGGTTATGGCTATGGCCGGGACAACTGGGAAAACCATTTGATCTAGAATCTAGTGTTGATATGATCTACTAGAGGCCATGGGAAGTTGAACAACAGACAGGCTTGAACATTTCTAAAACTCAATAAACTGTTCACATGATCAGATCTAGATTTCTAGATTCTATATCTAGATTCTACTTACTTGTCACACAGTCTGCCCAAAGACTTGTCTTTGCGAGACGTAAACATTTCGAGATCCGTTCCCACTGCACTATCTTGCGAAGAAATCATGTCTAATCCTTCCCTGCTGTTTTCCTCGGTTGGACTCAGAATGTGACCAGAGCAAGTCATGCTGGTCATTGAGGATGCCGCAGATGATCTGCCTTCCTCCACAACACTTTCTCGTTCTTGCTGCATTCGCCTGATTTCAGGACTAACAGCAGTGCACAACATTTTCAGATTCCAAGTGGGGCTCACCGGTTCATTATTAGATCCTGAATTGCTCATTTCACAATCTCTTGGAGTTTTTTGAGGGGTACAATAACCTTCATTGTTGTTTGAATCAAATAACATATCTTCATCAACAGACCCCATGCTTTCAACATCACTGAAACCATCTTGGGAGTTTTCAGTTTCTGAACGCTCTAAAGGCTTTCGTGACCGAAGATTCCTCTTACTAAAAGTAAGGGACTGAGATTTACACATTAATTTCCTCTCCATGTTTTCTTTTTCAGCGTCCTTTGTACTCGTACTTAGTTCTACACGTCCATGTTGTGGTTTATCAGACAAGCATCTCCTCATTCGCCGACTGTTGACATTTGAACGCATCGGTTTTCCAACTTGAACAATGACCAGTTTCCTTGTGGCATTTTCATCAGCCATTTCTGCAACAACAACAAAATAAATAAAATGAAAATAAAAACTGTGTTGGACTAAGATCTTATAAAGTTCAGTAGAAACAACTCAGAGCTAGATTTATGTTCAGTAGAATCAATAAAAGAAAATTTAGTAGACACGTTTCTGTTTCACCCTCTGCTGTCTGGGCTAACGCCAACGCCCCAAAATCCTTGAAAATTCCCGCGGTCTTTTCCCCGGTCGGTTTTGCAACCTGAATTTCCGCGACATTTTGTCAGCACTAAATTTTTAAACACACATTCGATTGGGATTCTCGTAGTCAGATTCATAAACAAAGAGGGTCGAACAAAGGCTTTTCATGTCCCTTAAAACCGTTTACCGGCTGTGATTAGAAATCACAACGTTCCGCCGCTATTGTCGGATCTTCACATTTCAAGTTCCCATATCGCACCAGTTGATGACGGCGAACGCAAACAAACATCCGAGCAAAACGGCCAAGGTGTACAAGATCACAATTTTTCGTCTACAATAACATAATATTGTATCAAAACCATTACCTGATATAAACCAGCTGCAATAGAAAATTTCACACGTTCAGTTTTCTTTCAAATCTTCCGCTGCGACAACGTCCTCATCTGTCGCAGCAACGTCTTCCTCCCACAGTCTCGTCTGACGGACTGACTTTACCACTGATCTATTGCGCGTTCGAAATTGGCGCGTGATAGCGACGCACCTTTCGCACCGTTTCCCCCAACCGGGGCCCGGGAACGAGCATTGCGGAAAATCGACTGGTGGAGCCAAAACAAGCGAGTCGCGCCTCGTTCTGTTGTGTTTACGTTTGCCGAGGGCGGGTAGGCGGCGCTTCAAATAATATGAGAGCGCTCTGTATGAACGAACACAGATCTGCTGACCGAAATTTTCAAAGGGACCGGGAGGGGTTGGTTAATTTGGATGTTCATTGTGGTGGGTAGCGACAGTACATTTTCGCGGCTGGCGCACGTTCTGATTTTCCCGTTTGACTAAGAATATTTCGAAAAAATGAATAGTGCGAAAATTTAACCAGGTGGTGCGAACGAATTTCCCGCGGTCTCTGTGATCTTCCTTTTGCGCCAATTCTCTCCACCTACATTTTACATACATTAACGAGTATCAGAACGGGCAGGCCCGTGGAATCCGGAATAAATTTAACGTTTAAAATTTTCTGACTCCAGGCTGATCGGACTTGTGAAATGTTCCACAAACATTTCTTTTTAGATTTTTATGTTCTCACCCAGGACATTATTATTATTATTATTATT